TGGGGTTCAATTTTTCTGCTGCATCCATAAAATGGAAAGTCTTGCCTCGCCTGAAAGAAGATCGCGCTTCAAATTACTTCATCGACAGCCACGATTGCAACAACAGAAGCAACAGCAGTAGCACCAAAGGCAGAAACACCATCATAATTGGTTGAGAGCAAAACTAACAATTTTTAGCTAAATATTTATGTTCAAAAAAAAAAAAATCTTTTTTTTTTATAGTTTAACTTACTAAAATTATCATCATCATTATCGTCATCGTCATCATTATCACCATCACCATCATCCTTAACAGCAACAGCAAAAGCAACAATAATAACAAGAACAAGAACGAGCAATGAAGAGCCCCGATGCATGTGTTTATGTTGTCTACAGATGGACGGGACAAATTTACGCCTCGCCTATATATCATAATGAATTCTTCCTTTCTATTTTTTTCTTTTGTGTTATTTTTGCTATAATTAGCGTTTTTAGCTTTTAACCCCTGTTCTTTAGCTGGTTTATTTTTTTTTCTTTGCTTTTTATTTTTCTGAAACCAAAATAAGCTAGTAGAAAAAATTGATATCAGAAAGAAAAAAGAAATTTTTTTTTTTAGCATCTGACTTCCAATTTTTTCCTCTAAAAATTATCACAAAACCCTTTTCTTTGTTCCTGGAACATGCAAATAAATATCTAAAAATATTCTAAAGGTTTAAGGTTTAATATGTGAATGTATGTCTGTGTGTGTGTGTGTGTTTGTGTCTTTCTGTATGAGTCTGTGTCTGTGTCTGTGTTTATATGTGCTTTAGTCGGGAGCGGTTAGGCGATCAGCGTAACAGCAATATCAATGGTGAAAAGACTGCAAAAGATGGGACGGAGAATGGGGTGGCCCGGGGGAAGGGGGGAGGGGGGAATGATGTTGAAAAGTGCAAAAGCATTGAGGCCGATGGTTGGAGCCCACAGTCGACCACAAATATCCATTTGAGTGCGCTATCCCAAAAATGGTAAGCTGTTACACTATTGTTTCGGCAATTCTTCTTTTTTTTGTTCTCAACTTTATCTGCTTAAATATGGTTTTTTTTCTTATTGTTGTTGTTTTAAAATTTCATGAACAACCTAACTACATTATCTGTGATTAAAAAACTGTCAAAAAAAACTGCTAATTTAAGAAAAAAAAAAAGAAACTTTTCTTTCTGTTTTTTTTCTTTACACCCCAAACAAGCTTTTCATTGACAATTTTTTTCAATTTTCATACTATTCAAATTTTGAATAAAATAGAATCGCTGAAGCAGAAAAAAAAAAAAAAAAATTCTGTTATTCTTTTTTTAACGGCTTCAAATACCTGCTGCTGTATCATGGATTGCTGCCTGCCTAAAAGTTTTCTTTTTGCAATAAACATGTAATTTATTCACCTTTTTTTCCCCCTCATCTATTCTTTTTTAAAAAATTAACAGGAAATAATGAAATAAACATAGGTTTGGATACAAAGAAAACAATAACAAATTTTTTTTTTTCGAGCAACTAAAATTAATTTTAGAATTGGTAAAATTTTTCTTTTTTTTTTTTTTTTTTCCAAATACTTTAAACCTTTTCCTTACTGTTGTCGTTGTTGTTGTTCAGCGTGAAGTGATCTCAATACATATCGGCCAAGCTGGCGTACAAATTGGAAATGCTTGTTGGGAACTCTACTGTTTGGAACATGGAATTCAGGTAAGACTTCAAGATTGCTGCTTTCAAAACTGATAATTAATTTGGGAGTTGAAAGACAAAAAAGAAAAAAATAACTGCTGTTTCATTTTCGTTTTTTTTTTTTTTCTTTTAATTTTACAGAAAACCACTTCTTTTATTATAATTGAAAACTGGTAAAAACTGGTAAAAACTGTTTTTTATTTTTTTTTTTCAGCCAGACGGACAAATGCCATCGGATAAAAGTATCGGCGGCGGTGATGACTCGTATACAACATTTTTTTCAGAAACTGGAGCTGGTCGTCATGTGCCAAGAGCCGTCATGGTTGACTTGGAACCGACAGTTATCGGTTTGGTTTTTTTCTTTTCTGATGCCTGTTGAAAGTTCTTCAAGAATGTTTCTCAACATTCAAAAAGTGTCTGTTATACCGCTTTTTTTTTTCTGGAAATATTCAAAAAAAAAAAAAATGTATGAGAGGGGTTTTTTCTTTTGCATATTAGTTTCTGGTATACAAACGACAGTTTTTTAGATTAAACTTATATCAGATGCTAATTTTTTATTCATTGTTGTTACTTTTTTGTTTCTGTTTTTTTTTTTTAAATACTTTAAGCTCAATAATTTCAAAAAATCTTGTCAACTCTTTTTTATTTGATGAATAAATGATGTTAAAATATACCACTTTTTTTTTGTCTTCTTTAATTTCATCGTTTGTAAATACATACAAAAATCTACTGGAGTCTCCAGCTTTCTGTTTTACTTTTTTTTTCTTATGTACATATCAAATTTGTCTAATCTTTACACAGTCTTATGGTTGCTGTTCTTCAGTCATTACGCCTTTATGCTTCTTTTTTTTGGTAATGATGTTGCTGGGATAAAGACTAGGACAGTGCAGAATTTTGTAGCAATTTAAGCCACCTATAGAGTCGTTATCAACTGATAAGCGAATATAAATTAGAATTTGGCAACAGAACAATTCAGACGTTGTTGGCCAACCTCAAAGAACTATTGACTTGTTGGTCAGAATCTATCAATCATCGCACAAGCACACTTTTTTTCTGCCATTTTGGTGGCCTTCAGAAGAGGTTTTGGTTCGGATGAAAGGACGAAGGAAGTTTCAGTATAACCTTTGAACAAATCCTTTCGAGGCATCGTCGTTTTGCTGTTTGTTGTGCTGTGCTTTGGTAGCCGAATGAGATTTTCAATTATGTGCTTAAGAAGCGATCTTGGATACCCGTAAATATAGTTAGACAGTCTTGTTGCCATTTCGTTTCCTTTTTTTTTTGCTTTGCTTTTGCTTTTTCGCCGCTGTTCGTTAAGCCAATTTTACAATTTCTTTTCTATGTAAATTTAAATTTAAAAGACAAAAATTGTTTCTTTTTTTT